TCTGCGAGAACTTGTGACTGACCCAAGGTCACCCAGCTGGCAGCATGTAGAGGAATGGGGAATCAAACCCGGTTCTCCCAGATTCAAGTCCGCCACTCTTCACCACTACACTAGACTGGTAGAGGTAAATGGGGGTAAATGTTGCTTTCCCACAGCTAGTTGCTTGGCACTGCTTACAAGACTGGTGCTGTCCATTTGAAGACATGTGTCTCAGGACATCCTAACTGCTAGGGGAGGGGCCATGGCTCAGTGGAAGAGCCTCTGCCTGGCATGCGGAAGGTCCCAGGTTCAATCCCCGGCATCTCCAGTTGAAACAACCAGGCAGTAGGTGATGTGAAAGACCTCTCCAGGGTCAGACTTGAGACCTTGGAGAGCCGCTGCCAGTCTAAGAAGACAATACTGACTTTGATGGACCAATGGTCTGGTTCAGTACAAGGCCCAAGGAAGGGGCTATGGGTCAGAGGTAGAGAATTGGCTTGGCAAGCATTAAGTCCCAGGTTCAATCCCTGGCATCTCCAGCTAAAAGGGTCAAGTTGTAGGTGATGTGAAAGGCCTGCACCTGAGAACCTGGAGAGCCGTGGAGAGGGGCCGTGGCTCAGAGGCACAGCCTCTGCTCGGCGTGCAGAAGGTCCCAAGTTCAATCCCCGGCTTCTCCAGTGAAAAGGTCCAGGTAATAAAATATGTGAAAGACTTCAGACCCTGGAGAACTGCTGCAAGTCTCAGTAGACAATATTGACCTTGATAGACCAATGGTCTGACTGAGGATAGGGCAAGAGGGAAGGGGCCATGGCCCAGAGGTAGATCATCAGCTTCGTATGCAGAAGGTCCCAGGTTCAATCCCCAGCATCTCCAGCTAAAAGTATCAGGTGGTAGGTGATGTGAAAGACCTCAGCTGGAGACCCTGGAGAGCCACAGCCAGTCTTAGACAATACCGACCTTGGTAGACCAACGGTCTGATTCAATATGAGACAGCTTCATTGTGTTCATGGGGAGGGAAGGCGGGACAGATAATTTACAGCAAATATAACAGAATTCACCCATGGCCTCACAGTTACTCATAGCCCCTACATTTTCAAAGTAGGAGGCCACATAGAGCCACCCTTATGACCCTTTATGGGGAATTCGCTGCCACAGGAAGTGGTGGTGGCTACAAGCATAGACATCTTCAACAGGGGTTTGGATACATACGCAGCAGAGGTCCATCAGTGGCTATTTGCCACAAGGGATAGATGGAACACTCTGTCTGGGGCAAGTGATGCTCTGTTGGAGGGGAAGAGTGGGAGGGCTTCTGGAGTTCTGGCCCTGCTGGTGGACCTCCTGATGGCACCTGGGCTTTGGCCACCCTGTGGCACAGAGGGCCACGGTCACACACGCTAAACAATCCACTTTCAGTGCACTTTCCAACTGGATTTTTACTGTGTGAAATGGCAAAATGGCAAAAGTGCATTGTGTGACCAGAGACAGAATGTTGGACTGGGTGGGCCACTGGCCTGATCCAACAGGGCTTCTCTTATGTTCTTATGTCTTGGGCAGTAATGCTCTGTATCCTTGCTGCTTGGGGGACAACAATGGGAGGGCTTCTGGATTTCTGGCCCCGCTGGTGGACCTCCTGAGGTCCCCCTGGGTTTTGGCCACTGTGTGACACAGAGTGTTGGAATGGATGAGTCGCTGGCCTGATCCAACATGGTTTTTCTTGGGGTCATTTCCTGCAGGAGCGCACAGGAGCGGAGCTCCAGCAGTAAGGAGCCCAGGGGGTGGGCACATGCAACAAGCCCTGCCCCCTGCTCCCAGCAGCCCTCAGTCGGGCCACAAGGAGCAAGAAGCAGCCAGGTAAGTTCCAGAGCCCTCCCCTGGCCCGCCTTCAGGTACAAGCTCTCCCTCCTCTGTGAGGGCAGATCTGCGCGTCTCCCCCCCATAGCTAGCAATCCAAAGCAGTCCAGTGGCACCTTTAAGACCAAGTAGAGCCTGAGTGCAGGGTGCTGCCTTCTGCCACACTTCCGGTGATGTCAGGGGGTGTGGCACATGCAAATAAATTATGCTAATATGTTATGCTAATGAGCTCCTGCACCTCTTTTTCTATGAAATGACTCCTGGTTTTTCTTATGTCCTTACGACAGCAGGGTAGAAGAGAAATACCTTGACTTTCCCTCTAAGCTACCAGCAGGACTAACGCCCAAGTTCAAAACAGCACTACAAACCACCACCAGTTCCTCCATCCTTCTGTGCCCCACCTTGTCAAAAAGAGCGATGTACAGGGAGAATCCAAAGTGGTCCTTCAGGCTGATCTTGTCGGCCAGAGAGCTGCACAGCTCTTTGGCCGTCGTTGCCGAGTCGGTCAGCAGAGTCTTGGTGGTCCCGTCCATGAACGTGACCGGCAGCATGATGGGTTTCTTCGACTTGGTTGCCTAAGCGGAGGAAAGCAAAGCCATTGAGGGGAAAGAGCAACAAAGGATCAGTTATGCTCTGAGGTTTTATCCAGATCGCCTGTGGGGTCAACCTGTTGCTGTCATCCCGCATGTGGGCCTCCTAGAAGCACCTGGTTAATTCTTTACACAGAGAATGATTAAAAGGTGGAATTCGCTGCCAGAGGATGCTGTGATGGCCACAAGCATGGATAACTCGAAGAGGGATTAGAGAGGAGAGGTTTATCAGAGGCTACTAACCATAGCGACTGAGAGGAACCCTCATCTTCAGAGACAATCAGCCTCTTAATCCCAGAGCCTCTCTCTGCCCTGCTGCTGGTCGTCCAGAGGAACTGGTTGGCCACCGTGTGAGACAGGAGGCTGGACTAGGTGGAGCCTCACTGGTCTGATCCAGCAGGGCTCTTCTGAGGTTCTTATCAGGGGAAGGCCTCGGCCTCCAGGCCCTGTTGTTGGCCCTCCAGAGGAACTGGTTGGCCACTGTGTGAGACAGGAGGCTGGACTAGAAATCCAGCAGGGCTCTTCTGAGGTTCTTATCAGGGGAAGGCTTCGGCCTCTCTGCCCTGTTGTTGGCTCTCCAGAAGAACTGGTCGGCCTCTGTGTGAGACAGGAGGCTGGACTAGATGGACCCTCACTGGTCTGATCCAGCAGGGTGTTCTTATCAGGGGAAGGCCTCGGCATCTATGCCCTGTTGTTGGACCTCTAGAGGAACTGGTTGGCCACTGCGTGAGACAGGAGGCTGGACTAGACGGACCCTCACTGGTCTGATCCAGCAGGGCTCTTCTGAGGTTCTTATCAGGGGAAGGCCTCGGCCTCTCAGCCCTGTTGTTGGCTCTCCAGAAGAACTGGTCGGCCTCTGTGTGAGACAGGAGGCTGGACTTTTTTTTTTTAAATACTGTTTTTATTATGAATTTTTTTCCATACAATAGATGAAACAAATTAAACATGAGCATAAAACCGTTGAT